ATCTGACCTGTTTTAAATTAATAATGAGTACTAGATTAGTAAGTGTATGCTAAATTGTCGTAGCAGAAATAGAAAGCCAATACAAAGGTGTTCAATAATTGATAAAATGTGTATTGTTTATTATTGTGGCCATAGAAATCTTAGAAATTAGCTGTCTGTATGGTCTAAGATGACTAATGTCATAAGGATCTGATCTACTTGAAAAGTCAAAGCATGTTGGGCAACCTCAGTTCCAACAGCAGTTGGATATCTTACACATCAAAAGACTGATACTCAGAGATTGTGGTATGCCTCTGTGTCTAAAATTAGGCTATCCAGATTACATATGCCAATTAAGTCTTTAGAGATTCAAGTGCACAGTGACTTTACTGGAGTTTACATATATTATACAATCATATTTTACAGGTGAGCAAAATGACGGTGTAGGTGTTACTACCAGTAGGGATGAAATGGAAGTCACTATAAAATAGTGACAGGTATAGTACACACTTAAGTCATTAAACTATAAAAATGGACATATTACACCATTCCTTTGAGCTTCAGCTACTGTTTCATCTATAAAATAAGAATGAAGATGTAGTTATTTCATAATGTTTTTGAGAAAATTTAAATGAGATACTGCATGGGAAATGGTAAGTAACTAAGTACTGTGTAGGTATTAATTCTTGCTGTTGAGATCACCTTTATAAAATATATTGATAAAGCAATGCATTTTTCATTTTCATTTTATGTCAAATGTTTGCTCTTTGAAGAAATCATTATCGAAGCCTAGATAGAGATTTATATATGATGTGTTTGCCCCATTGAGGGGGTTTACAGGGTCATTGGTTCAGATTAAAAATGTATATTTATTTCATCTACATCATTTATTTTATGCAAATCATCTTCCACTTATCCAATGAAGTGTTATAATTCTCTCATTTTGCAAATTATTTGGCTACAAGCCTCTTAATGCTATGTCAGCCTTGATCTCCTGAATAATAGTTGTGGGTATTTGCCATATTTTCTTCACTAGCAAGACAAGACTGACTCTCTCTCTGTCTCTCTCTATCTCTGTCTCTCTGTCTCTGTCTGTCTGTCTGTCTGTCTCTGTCTCTGTCTCTGTCTCTCTCTCTCTCTCTCTCTCTCTCTCTCTCTCTCTGTGTGTGTGTGTGTGTGTGTGTGTGTGTGTGTGTGTGTGTGTGTGTGTGTGAGTTAGATTTGTTTACTTTTTGTATTGGGAGGTCCATAACCTACTGCATGGGTGTGGAGGTCAGAGAAGAACTACTATGTGTCCCTGGAATTGAACTTGAGTTGTCAGGCTTGTTGACAAGTACCTTTAACAGCTGAAACATCTTAACAGTCCCTGTGTGTGTTTAGAAGAGAGGTGATAAGTGAGAAATTAAGTTGCAGCTATATGTTACAGAAAGAATGCCTGGGATTCCTGTACTAATGAGGTTGAGGAAGGAGGATTGAGAGTTCAAGGTCACACTAGGCTGACCTTGAGACTTTTTCTCAAACCAAACAAACCAGACAATATATAATATAAAACATATAACTGTAATTTATGGGAAGGAAGTAGAATATAATGATAGTAAATTTGGTTTTAGAACCCAGTCAATTGCTTGGAAGGATCTCCAGAGATCTTTATTGAAGTTATTCAGTCTAAGAAGATAGTCCTGAGTTCTTGTTTTGGGATCTAAATGAGCTATTTCTACTTTCTGAGTACCACTTTCTCTGTAAGAAAAATGAGGGATTTGCACCTGTCTCTGTCTCATCATCATTTTAATCTTGTTTTTGCTAAGTAGCATGGCTGGGGGGTAATTTCACTGGTTGCCAGAATCCAAGGGACAATTCTGCAATAAGGGAAGACAGACCAAACCCGAGGCACTTCTAAAAGCCCCTTGACCCAGTGAACTGTAATTTTTTCTGAGCCCACCAGCTTTTATCCTTTAAACAATCTGTTCTCACTCAGTTGAGGATGATGTCAAACGTGTGTTTGTTTATGAGACCACAGCTGAATCATCCAGGAATCATTCCTTCCTGGCCGAATGGGTCTGCTAGTCTCATTGGACAAAGAGCTTTAGGGGCCTGTCAACAGAGGAAAGAGATGTGACTTTTAGAGAAGACCGTATGAAGGATCATCAGCACCTACTCTCTAGAAATGAGGGCTACTTCACTTTAGTCCTCCTCCAGGGTTGATTAGCCTCTGCCCAAACTGGCATAATTTCTGAATCTAGGCTGCAAAAATTGTCATACCTGTCCCTAGAATCATGGAAAATGACCGGGCAGGATTAAGTTGGTGGCATCTTGGGGCACAGGGCACTTCTTGAAGTATGATGAGGGTCCCCATTTCCCACAAGCTAGAAGGAGGCATCTGAACAGCTTTGTGTTTTCAGCTACAAACAGAAGTCTCTGCAGAAGTAAATCAGTCAGAAATTGTCTGTTTCCTTCTCTTCAGCAATGGAGCCAGGCGAAAAGCAAATTAGAAGATTTGGAACCAGGCAGGCCGGAAGTAGCATGACATGTTTGAAATATTCATTTGTTAATTAAACACCGGAGTAGCTAGTAGATTGGAGTTTAGTATGCTAAGGAGTGAAATGAGATGACAACGCTGGGAATGTTCTCCAAGGTCCCCAATCCCTTGGTTCTAAGGAATTTTGTTGCTGTTTACTCAGTGTTTGCAAGTCGAATTGCAGGCAGTTTTATAGTACTTCACATCTGAGGTGATTTTCTGAACTAATTCCATTTCAAGCCAAAGCAAACACCTGGATACTTTTCTTTCCATGTGTTTCCAAACGTCTTTGGCTCTCCTATTCCTCTCCTCTTTTCCCCATTCCGAGTCTCTGATTTCCTGGCCCTGCCTTCTGTGATTCTGTGTGCCACTCTCGTTTTAGTTGTTAGTTCTAGAATGAACAGAATCAGAATTACAGATCTGATATCTGGAAAGGATGGCTGATATCACCTGGTCCGTGTCGGTTCTTGAAGCTTATGCTAAAGCCAGGCTGAATCTGTATCAAGGAAGCTGGGTCTATATTGGTTCTGACTCCTTGCAGCTGCCTGCCTCCTTGTCCCTTGAGTAATCACAGGTCAGGACCATTTCAGCAGTCGTATACTGACATAAGCAAGAATAGAGCAAATACCCAACACCTTAGGCTCCATTCCTGTTGATACTTTGAGTTGTTCTCTAATCATGAAGCTGTTGGCTCTTTTCTACCCCTCTGCAATCTTGTCCTTGCTGTTCTAACCCATCCAGGAGGAGATTTGCATTAAATGGAAAATATAACAGCATGGGCACCTTTTCAGGTTGTACCTGAGTAATCCTCATTCTGTGTCTCTCGGCAGTATGCATTAGAACAAATTATCTGATGCAACATAAACAGTTCCACTTAATGCAGAATCTGTTTCCCTTGTTTGCCGAGTTGAAAGGAGGTAGTTCATTATATTTCAGTAGCATCTAATAAATAGAAAGTTCAATTAAAGAGCCTGGATGCTTTTGAAAACACACTTTCAGCACCCTCCCTTCTACAGAAACAGGGCCCAGACTGTATGGGGTTGATTGGAGTCCTTGAAAAACTATATGTACCCACAAAAGAACCAAATAACTGCATCTGTATACACATATAGAACCCCATACATATAGTTTATGGATGTAGATACACAGTTTATGAAAACATCACCACCCTGGAACTAAAACATGGACTTCAAGTGCCATTCAGTTCTTTGTTCAACCTCTCAGACTTTTATTGTTCCCCCTTTCTCAGGCTAAACATTTGCTTTAAAACTAACTTGGCACTGTATGAATATACTATCATGCCTTTTAATTTAGTAGATTTTCGAGATTAGTGAAAGGCACTATTTGACATCATTTAAATCTCAGCTTTTAAGACTTGATGGGAAACGAGAAATGATACACATCATCTGTAGAATACCCCCAAATCCAAGAAACAGACAAACAAAAATAGGCGATTGGGAATACTGATACGTCAACATGTCATTCCAGCTAAAACCAAGAAGATAACTATATAGCAATAGACAAGTGGGTCTGGGTACCATGTGAGTATAGTAATTATTACTCATTTGAAGCCAGGGAAAACAAACACCATCTTTAAGTAGAGCACGACTGATTAGTCTTTGCCTCTCCTACTCATACAATAAACTCAGGTAAAGTTCAGGGATTCTGTCTTCTAGGCCAGTTTCCCGGCTCCAGGCTTTTCATGAGGGAGTGATAATATTGCTAAACACTTGGCTATCACCAGGTGCGTGGCTGTAGTCCAAACATCCCATCTTGGCAATAGGAAAAAAGGCCTCCTGTCAGTCTTTCTCACAGACCGAGCAGAAAGACCAGGATTCAGCACAGAACCTAAGTATGTAGAACAACATGGTTGTGACTGTTTGTTCCAGTCATGGCATATGGTGCAGGGAAGTGTCCACTTCAGCACGTAGATCTGACCCGGTACCCCCATTTTGCATTTCTGGGTTCCTTAAAGGAAGTTTGAAGGTTAACAAAACCAGCAAGGTAAATGGGAGCTCTGGTCCCTGAGCCCTTATGGATCATCTTCTTGGTTCTCTGCAGGTGGAGGCTGTCCTTGCAGCTTGAGTATCTTTATTCTTACACTCATCCCAGGACTATTTTGTAGAGGCCTGGGATCAGGTTGTGTAGGGGCGGGGTGGGGTGGGGGCATAATATTTACCCCAGGAAATCACAATAAATCACTATCCAGGCTCTGATCCAGGAGAACAGTGCTAAAGACGCTTTTCGTAGGTGCCAACAGTATCTTGTCCTAAATCTCCTCAGGCTCCCTCCTCCATTACATGGCTCTCCCAGGTGTCCCAAAACAATCTGTTGCTGGTCTCCATTTGCATCCCACCACCCCAGCCCACAGTCAGCCAGCCAGCCAGCCAGCCAGCCAGCCAGCACCTTTCCAGCCCACAACAGCTCAGCACCTTCATTCAAGCCTCATTTCACCGCTGCTCCTCAGCAACAAATAGGACAGCACCCGCGCCGCTTATCAACTTACCCCAGGCCAGGAGCTTTCTTCAGATTTGTGTTGTCTGGAGTCCGTGCACCGGGGCGCGTGGTGCGACAGCCTTACTGGATTCGTCTTCCGCTGCGCGCAAAAGGCAGCCGCCTGGGACAGTCCCGGGCCTGGAGGCTGCCGAGTGGGTGGATGGTTGAGCCCAGGCAAAGGGATCAGGGAGCTGAGAGGGGCCCAAGGACTGACTCCTACCTGGGCTTCCCTCTTTGCTCTTCAGTTATTGCCAAACTTCCCTCTGACTGGCCAGACCTCCTCACCTTTCCCCTTCGCCAGTGCCCGAAACTCTTCTCTCCACCGGTGCTCTTGTCCTGCTCCCGCTCGTCCTATCTCAGCTCTTTCTCAACCTGAGCCCCTTCAAACACACGCACCCCTTTCACGCGGCAAGCCACAAACAATAAGAGCAAGCGGAGAAGCCAACACCGGGAAATTGAGGATAGCTGACACCCTGGTATGAAGAGGAGCGTGTGTGGAGGGGTGTGTGTGGAGGGGAACCGCATTCACACTCTTACAGGCACCCTCAAGCTAGGTAGCTGATGGGAGCTCCAGCCACCTCTCCAACCCCCCTTTCTAGACTAAAGGTTTCTGTCCCCTACTGCTGCTGCTTCAGGAAAATCCTATACCAGCCAAGGGGAGAGAAAAGCAAAGAGGGGTGGGCAGGGGAAAATCAAGGAGGCGCGCTCCCTTTCTCCTCCCCACCCCTAGATCCCAAAATGTCCAACCCTGAGCTCTTCTTTTCCCTTCTATCTGCTCCAGGTTCTCATCTGCTGCTCGTCTCCCTCTCTCTTTTTGGGGGTGGCTGAGAGCTGTGGAGAACCCGTCGCGGTTGATTGTGTGTGTGTGTGTGTGTGTGTGTGTGTGTGTGTGTGTGTGTGTGTGTGAGAGAGAGAGAGAGAGGGGGGGGGTGAGGAGAGAGAAAGAAGAGAGAGGAACAGTGGTTGGCGAAAGCACCTCTCACCTCCCCCAGCCCCTGGCCAAAGCCTAGCTGGCGGTCGCCTCACAGCAGAGGCGGGCGGGGCGGGGAAGGCGGGCAGGGGGGAGGGCAAGCAGGAGGACGGGGCAGCCTGCAGGGGCAGCCGCTCCTCCCTGCTCTGTAGCTCGGTGGCCAGGGGTGGAAAGAAGCCGCAAGCCGCAGCCGCAGCCCCAAGTCAGCCCCCGCTGCCCCGTCCCACCGTCTCATCTCTCCCCCCTCGGTACGGAATTTTCTGTTTCATTCGTTTGGTTCCCCCAAGACTCCCCCTCCCCTGGGTGGTGGCAGAGACCCGAGGGGCGAGGGGAGGCTGAGCGCGGGTGAGGGGAGCGGGTACAGGAGCGCCTCTGGCGCCTGGTTTACAGAATCTTCCTTTTCCCCATTTATCCAAGTGTCTCCTGTTTTGGGCAGTGACCCCTACCCGTCCATCTCAACTAGGGCTCTGTGTAAGTGGCGCCTGGACTGTGCGGGTCATCCTGGAGGAAGAGGAGTTGATCAGTTTGGAGCGAGGGCCTGTGGCCCGCGGGACAGCGGAGCAGGGGGCTCTGTATGGTCAGGCTGGCATCTTCTAGAGCCGGTTTTATCTGTCAGATCCAGTTTTACCTGGTGCCGGCAGCCCCGGAGCGCAAGATCCAGGCTGGACTGAAGCAGGGACTGATAGTCTTGTAGGATTTGGAAGCAAGTTGCTTAGTTTTGGTCTCAGTGTCTGGGGAGGGCAGTGGGGGAAGGGTGGTGTCACTGGACACTTGGTCGACTTTTAGATCTTTATGTCTTCAGGTCACTTGACACACCTCGCTGTTCACTCCGCAACCCCTTTGCACCTTTTACCGTCTTCTGAAGGTCTCCAAATGCTAACCCTTTAAAACCCGTCCGTAACCTGCGGAATGGCCCCACCCCCACCGCAAACCTGAGACTTCTACCTCAACCTACAGGCACTTTTGGGCTCTGCCTGCAGTATTTCAAGACCCTCCCCACCGGATGCCCAGATGCTTTGTCTCCTTTCCCAGCTCTCTCTGGAAAATGGAATGCATGCAAAGCGCCGCTTTTCTGGATGCCAAGCTGGTACCCCAGGCTTCACGGTTTTCCCCTTGCCCGCGTTCTCAGAACAACCCCAGCTTTAAAAAAGCTCAGCTGTACTTCTCGCTGTTGCCGGGAACACACACCGTGAGCCTGAGCAGACTTTCTGAAAAAGCCCGAACTGCTTCCCTTGCCTAAACAGCTCCGGGGTTCCTTTCTAGTTCCTTTTTAGCTGGGATTGCTCGTGTTCGGTGGGAGAACTAGCAACTTTCCTCTTGGGTCACTAAGAAAGACGCTTTCCTGTTGTCCTTTGATCTCCTAGCAAGGACGTGGTCCAGTATCTTGGAGTAGTAAGCTTTTGTGTGAAAGGCAGACATTGAACAAGAAAGGTATTAATTACTTTGAGGGATTTAAGAGTCCGGAGCCTGGCAAGGGTGAGTGTAGAACTTTACCGTTTAAACACTCCAGGACGTGTTTCTAAAAACTGATTCAGGGGATAGGTTTTAAAATGTGCTTGATTCTGAGACTTTTCTGCCTTTCCCCCCTGTTCTTAGGCAGTTTTACTGTGACCCAGTAAACTCTAACATGCAGTTTTCTATCCAAGAAATACATATGTCGTAATTAAGAGACTCTTTCCTTTGGTTTGCAGGGTAAGTAGAATATTCTGGTATGGACAAGAGTTTGGGGGTTCCAACTTCCCTTGGCAGCTTCCCTGCAGCTGAAGTTTAGTCTCCAAGTCCAGAATACTCAGTCAGAAGGAAAACCCTGTTCTTGAGAGCTTTTTTCTTCAAAGGTCCTCGATACACACTGATTGTTTTTAACATATAGGAATTATGTGTGCTTCCAAATTTTCCAATTTCGCCGTAGATTGTGGTTAAAACCAAAATTTCTCTATTTGAGCCTGCCTCATTCAGCTTCTACACCATCCTCTAAACTCTTCCAGATTAAAAAAATACATGAGGAAAATGATACGCCAACAACAATTCGAAGCTCTAGAATCTGCGAATGAATTCTAGAACAAACTTAGTGGGTGCTCTCCTAGTGTGAAGCTATTTTAAGCAGATGCCCAAGGCTTTGTTGGAGCTTCTCCTCAGCCCTGGGGCTGCTTGGCTCAAAGTCTCTGTAGGTAGGATAATATTTCACCTTTCTACTTTTGGTGGCTGTGAGCATGTGTTTGTTAAACTATCCCAGGGTTGTTTACAACAAAAGGCCATATCTACAAGAGAGGTCCAAAGCCAAACTGAAAGCAGTGGTGTAACTCACCGAAGCCCACATCTAGCCAACTTATAGGCTAATTTGCCTCCATGGCTTGTTGTATTCAAATTTCTTGACAGTTATGGCTGTCATGTCATAGCTGTGACTTAACAATTCGAGTAACTTTTCCTTTCTTCTCACAGCCTTGGCTACAGTGGTAAACGGCATATGTAGATCCAAATTTAGTGTAGGATCATGGACAAAAAGAGATTGATGTGAGGAACCCAAAAGATTGATGTGAGGTTTCCCAACTTTTTTTTTTTTTTTTCGTGTTTTCGAGACAGGGTTTCTCTGTGTAGCTTTCTTTGCGCCTTTCCTGGAACTCGCTTTGGAGACCAGGCTGACCTCGAACTCACAGAGATCCGCCTGCCTCTGCCCCCGACTGCTGGGATTAAAGGAGTGCGCCACCACCACCCAGCGAGGTTTCCTAACTTTTATTAAGATTTTCTTAGCTTTGATACTATTCACATTTGGGGCCCACTGATTCCTTGTTGTGGAGATGTGTTGTTCATTGTGGGATGGTTAGCAATGCCAGTATGCTTTATGTCCTAGTTCACAATAGCATTCTGGTCCCTTTGCCCTTCATGATAAAGGAAACATCTCTATATGGGATCAAATGTCGCTTTAGCAGCAAATCACTTCCATGTTGACAACTCATTTAAGGTAGTGTCCTACTTTAAAGAACATACTTATCTCACTTCAACCTACATGGCATGCCCACACCTTGTGTTGTAGAGCATCTCAGAAAAAATATTGGATATTTGTGAGAGAAACAAATTAATCAATTTTGGCAAATGATTGAACTCATTGATTTCAGCATTGCTACCTTCACATTATCATTTAACTTTTGGTAAGTATACACTACCACTAGTGTGTTGATTATAGCAAAAATCTTTCAGGAATAACTCCAGCATAATGCTTTCCTTTCCCTGCAAAAGAAAAGGTTATGGATTTTCATAGATAACCAGTTTCTGGACTGTATTTAGTCTAGATTTCTCATTAATTTGCTATCTGTCTCCAAATTGTGACTTTTTCATTCAGATTCTGACCTAGAGATGTAGCACTTCGTCTTTTTATTTACCATAACCCTACATGAAATTTCTTATGACTGCTCTAGATATGGTGCTTGTATCTTAACAATGTGCCTAGCATTGAAATGAGCAGACCATTATGAAGACTGTCATCAGTTGAACACTTTGAAAGCAGATGTTTATTTTCAAGGAAGCAGCTCCTGGCTATCTGCCTGTTAGAGAAAAATCTCACCAATGACAAAAGCAGAGGGGATGGAACAGAATGTAAGAAGAGGTTATTCTTAAAATACTGTGGAGTGTTGAAAAAGTATCTTGGTGTGATTGTAGGTTTTAACACCCAGCACTATGTCTGCCCCAGGAAGTCAAACAACACTAAAGTGAATTGTGGGATTCTGATCAGAAATTCTGTAAAGCTAAGTGCAGAAGGAAGTGTGGAATGTCTGTTTTAATCAGCTGAGCAAGCTATTGCTTTACAAATAAGGTTCTGGTGAGTCAGAACCTTGCATTTCTTGCTTTGGACAACTCCTAGTCAATAACATATAAATATGTAGAAATGTGTCACTTGTAAAGACCAACACATGGAACAATTACTACATTTAAACTGCATATTCATAAGACATAATCCTCTTGCTGAGGCTAATTATTTATTTAATGAAAAATTTCCTTGAATTGGGGCCATGAATGTCTGTAATTGAAAATATATTTTATTTTCCAAGGTATATTCAAGCTTATATCAGAGCAGGAACCCTGTAATCAAGGAATGAGGTCTTCAGTTAAATAGTCATTAAGTTGAACAAAAGAAATGTAAATAGAAACACAGTTAATGGTTTAGCTAAGGACTTCCTTGTGCTCAGCATTAATAAGAATGCAAGAGGAACTGCCCTGAGCAAATCTGGAAAGTGGAATTTGAGAATCACAGATTCTAACCAAACTTTAGTCACTGAAAAGGGCTTTTCCTGAGGTTGGGTGGCAGTAATTATTGAAAAGGCAAACTCTAATCAGGTCTTGTTGCTCTGTTACTGTTTACTGAGTAGCTTTGGAAATGGCATGTATGGCCTTCACTTTAACTGCCCCTACTATTGGGTAAGAAATTTGGATCCAATTTCATTCTTTTGCTTGTAGATATGTAGCCATTTCCGAATTGTTTGTTCAAGAAACTATTCTTTCTCCCCTTTGAGT